CAGCAACGCATTTGCACAATCAAAACTTGTGTGCCAGCTGCGCCCGTACCTTGGGAAGTCTGACTTGGCCATGGTAGTCCACGCTCTGGTTACATCCTGTATAGATTGCTGCAATGCGCTCTACGTGGGGTTGCATTTGAAGACGGCCCGGAAGCTTCAAATGGTCCAGCATGCGGCAGGCAGCTAGGTTGCTAACAGGATCGGGGCTCAGGGAGCACAAAACTCCTCTTGTTGAATCAGCTCCACTGGCTGCCAGTCTGCTACCGGGCTCAATTCAAAGTGCTGGCTTTAGCCTATAAAGCCCTAAACGGTTCTGGCCCAGTCTATCTATCTGAACGCATCTCTTCCTACAAACCCTCCAGGAACTTAAGATTGTCTGGAGAGGCCCTGCTCTCGATCCCGCCTGCTTCGCAGGCACATCTGGCGGGGACAAGAGACAGGGCCTTCTCTGTGGTGGCCCCCCGGCTGTGGAACTCCCTCCCTAGGGATATTAGATCAGCCCCCTCCCTCCCGACTTTCCGAAAAAGAGTAAAAACTTGGCTCTTCAAGCAAGCATTCAGAACCCCGGAGTAAACAGACAAACTAGAGTTGGAAATTTATTTATTTATTATTTATTAGCTTTATTTCTATACCGCATTTTTCAGCCCAAACAGGCGACTCAATGCGGTTTACATGGTACAATTATCAAACAGTGTCAGTGCAATTAAAACATAACAATGCAACAAACAGGATCAACAGCATCAATCCACAATTAACAATCAACAAGACAGATCAACAAAACAGACATAACATAACGCCTCAGTTGAAATCAGATCCGTTCTCCATAATCCTTGTGCCATTCCTATGTTCCATTTACCGTCTTCCTATGTTCGGTTGCACTGTTTAACCAAACGCTTGTTCATAAAGCCAGGTCTTAACCTTTCTCCGAAACGCCAGCAACGATGGTGCCTGTCTGATGTCTACCAGTAAGGCATTCCATAGCCGAGGGGCCACCACTGAGAAGGCCCTGTCTCTCGTCCCCGCCAAGCGCGCCTGTGACGCAGGCGGGATCGAGAGCAGGGCCTCCCCAGACGATCTTAATGTTCTAGTCGGTTCATAGGTGGAGATGCGTTCGGAGAGGTAAGCGGGGCCAGAACCGTTTAGGGCTTTATAGGCTAAAGCCAGCACCTTGAATTGTGCCCGGTAGCGGATTGGCAGCCAGTGGAGCTGGCTCAACAGAGGAGTGGTATGCTCCCTGAGTGCCGCTCCCGTTAGCAACCTGGCTGCCGAGCGCTGGACCATCTGAAGCTTCCGGGCAGTCTTCAAGGGCAACCCCACGTAGAGCGCGTTGCAGTAATCAATCCGGGATGTAACCAGAGCGTGGACTACCGTGGCCAAGTCAGACTTCCCAAGGTACGGGCGCAACTGGCGCACAAGTTTGAGTTGTGCAAATGCTCCCCTGGACACCGCCGAAACTTGGGGTTCCAAGCTTAGCGAAGAGTCCAGGATCACACCCAAGCTGCGAACCTGCGTCTTCAGGGGGAGTGTAACCCCGTCTAACACAGGCTGTAACCCTATACCCAGGAACGGCCAAGACAATGTAACGGATGAAGATTTGAACGAGAGGACATAGTTTCTTTTAAAATTGTTTATTATGCACTGTCGTTTATGTTTAATTGCACTTTATGTTTTTGCTATATTAATGTATGCATTTTGTTTTGGCATCAAATTGTGCCGACTGTGACTGACTCGCCTTCGGGCTGAAATGGGCGGGATAGAAATAATGTAAATAAATAAATAAATACCAAATATGCCCAAATTTGAATACTGGTGAGGTTGGGGGGTGGGGGATTGATTTTGTCATTTGGGAGTTGCAGTTGCTGGGATTTATAGTTCACCTACAATCAAGGAGCATTCTGAACTCCACCAACGATGGAATTGAACCAAACTTAGCACACAGAACTCCCATGACCAACAGAAAATAGTGGAAGTGTTTGGTGGGAATTGACCTTGAGTTTGCGAGTTGTAGTTCACCTCCATCCAGAGAGCACTGTGGACTAAAATAGTGATGAAAACTGATCAAACTTGGCATGAATACTCAATATGCCCAAATGTGAACACTGGTAAAGTTTGGGGAAAATAGACCTTGAAATTTGGGAGTTGTAGTTTCTGGGACGTATAGTTCACCTACAATGAGCATTCTGAATCCCACCAACAATAGAATTGGGCCAAACTTTTTCTTTGGCGACCCCTTTGACACCCCCTTGCAACCTGCCCATGGGTCCCGAACCCTAGGTTGAGAAATGCTTCGCTACAGGATAGAGGAGGGAAATCTGCATCAAGATAGTTGAGTTACGTGACCTGAGCAATGCAGGGTTGAAGTCCAAAACACCCGGAGGGCCGAAGTTTGCCCATGCCTGCTCTAGATGATTGAGATGATGCATAAAATAATTTACTTTTCTATTAATACTGGAGAAGGGCAGATAGCATCCATTTCATTGCAGGCCTGTATTTCCACACAGTCTAAATGACAACACATCCTTGCTTTTGTATTGTGCTATTTATCAAGGGCTTCCTGGTGGCACAGTGGGTTAAACCGCTGAGCCACTGAACTTGCTGACTGAAAGGTTGGCGGTTTGAATCTGGGGAGCTCGGGTGAGCTCTTGTTGTTAGACCCAGCTTCTACCAACCTAGCAGTTTGAAAATATTTAAATGTGAGTACATCAATACCAAATATGCCCAAATTTGAATACTGGTGAGGTTGGGGGGTGGGGGATTGATTTTGTCATTTGGGAGTTGTCGTTGCTGGGATTTCTAGTTCACCTACAATCAAAGAGCATTCTGAACTCCACCAACGATGGAATTGAACCAAACTTAGCACACAGAACTCCCATGACCAACAGAAAAAACTGGAAGACTTTGGTGGGAATTGACCTTGACTTTGGGAGTTGTAGTTCACCTACACCAGAGAGGTTGGGTTAAGGCTGCATTTCTCAAGCTGGGGGTCAGGACCCCTGGAGGGGTCGCGAGGGAGTGTCAGAGGGGTCGCCAAAGACACAGTATTTTCTGTTAGTCATGGGGGTTCTGTGTGGGAAGTTTGGCCCATTTCTAATCTTGGTGGGGTTCAGAATGCTCTTTGATTGTAGGTGAACTATAAATCCTAGTAACCACAACTCTCAATGTCAAGGTCTATTTTCCCCAAACTCCAGCAGAGTTCACATTTGGGCATATTGATTGTCATGCCAAATTTGGTCCAGATCCATTATTGTTTGAGTCCACAGTGCTCTCGGGATGTAGGTGAACTACAACTCCAAAACTCAAGGTCAATGCCCATCAAACCCTTCCAGTATTTTCTGTTGGTCATGGGAGTTCTGTGTGCCAAGTTGAGTTCAATTCCATCACTGGTGGGGTTCAGAATGCTCTTTGATTGTAGGTGAACTATAAATCCCTGTAACTACAACTCGCAAATGTCAAGGTCTATTTCCCCCAAACTCCATCTGTGTTCATATTTGGACATATGGAATATAAATCCCAGCAAATACAACTCCCAAATGACAAAATCAATCCCCCACCCAATGCCACCAGTGTTCAAATTTGGGTGTATTGGGTATTTTTGCCAAATTTGGTCCAGTGAATGAAAATACATATCAGATATTTACATTATGCTTCAAAAGAGTAGCAAAATTACAGTTGTGAAGTTGTCATGAAATAATTTGCTGGTTGGGGGTCACCACAACATGTGGAACTGTGTTAAGGGGTCGTGGCATTACTTACTTACTTACTTACTTTACTTAGGCGATCCCTCGTTGGACGAGTAACATGGTCTTCCGTTCATGGCTTTCCCTGTGGGTCCGTATGTGGCTGTGGAGCCCTATTCTTGCTCTGCATCTTCTTCCGCAGTGAGGGCATTGGTTTCCAGGTGGAAGGCGGTCCTGGTTGGGGTTGGCTTGATGCACCTTCCTCCTGGCACGTTTCTCTCTTTCACCCTCCACTCGTGCCTCCTCGAATTCTGCAGCACTGCTGGTCACAGCTGACCTCAGCTGGAGCGCTCAAGGGCCAGGGCTTCCCAGTTCTCAGTGTCTATGCCAGAGTTTTTAAGGTTGGCTTTGAGCCCATCTTTAAATCTCTTTTCCTGTCCACCAACATTCCGTTTTCTGTTCTTAAGTTCAGAGTAGAGCAACTGCTTTGGGAGACGGTGGTCAGGCATCCGGACAACGTGGCCGGTCCAGCGGAGTTGATGGCAGGGACCATCGCTTCAATGCTGGTGGTCTTTGCTTCTTCCAGCACACTGACATTTGTCTGCTTGTCTTCCCAAGAAATTTGCAGGATTTTCCGGAGGCAGCGCTGGCGGGGACGAGAGATAGGGCCTTCTCGGTGGTGGCCTCTCGGCTGTGGAACGCCCTTCCCACGGACATTAGGCTAGCACCATCTCTAATGGTATTCCGTAAAAACGTTAAGACCTGGTTGTTTGAGCAGGCATTCGAATAACTAGTACAATCTGGTAATGGAACATAGGAATGGAACAATGGACGACGAATCTGGACTACGCTTGGATGATGAGAAGATTGGGTACGGTTGTTTTTTGTAATAATTGTGCATTGTAATTGCTTATTGGTAATTTATGGATAATGTGTTAAGTCAATTGTTATATGTTGTATGGAACCACTGCTGTTTCTACTGTTTCTACTGTTTGTGAACCACTGTGAGTCGCCTTCGGGCTTGAGATACAGCGGTATAGAAGCAAAGTAAATAAATAAATAAATAAATAAATAAAAGTTTATTGACGTCTGTAGACAGTCCACGTCTCACAGGCATAGAGCAGGGTTAGGAAGGTTGAGAACCACTGGGTTAAGGCGTGGGGGAGATAACTGAAAAGCAATTCCAGGATGCCCGCCTATTCCAATGTGGGTGAAGGGAGGGAGGAGGGAATAAAAGGAGAGGAGAGTGCTGTATTCGAGCCATTGCGGTAAAGGGGCGTGGCCAAGCCCGGGAAGGAGTGAGCCAGAGCTGGGATGAGAAAGGTCTCGCGAGAATTGGTGCGCGAGGAGGGAGATCCAAGCAGAAGAGAGAGAAGGAAAGGCGAGCGGGAAGAGAAGCCATGGCTGAGGCGGGAGGGTGAGTCTTGCCACGTGACTACCCTCGTGCGCATGCGTCTGTGGTCACCTTCTGGTAGGCCTGGGCCAACTTGGGCCCTGCAGGGAGTTTGGGACTCCAACTCCCACAACTCCTCACAGCCTCAGGCCCCTTCCTTTTCCCCCTCGGCCGCTTAAGCGGCTGAGGGTCCATGGCTTAAGCGGCCGAGGGGGAAAAGGAAGGGGCCTGAGGCTGTGAGGAGTTGTGGGAGTTGGAGTCCCAAACTCCCTGCAGGGCCCAGACTTGAGTTAGACTGTAACACAGTTTGTTTACAATCTGTATAACTTCTCCCTTCAATGGCTAGGCTGCATTATCTCTTTGTTATGATCTCCCCCCTGCATTGCATTGAATTGCAAATCTATATAAACAAAAATGTAATGTTCACTTGTGGATGGACAGAACTCAAAAACCAGTGGGCCAATTGACACCAAATTTGGACACAAGACACTTCACAACCCAATGAATGTCCTTCACTCAAAAAATGTTGGATTTTGTCATTTGGGAGTTGTAGTTGCTGGGATTTATAGTTCGCCTACAATCAAAGAGCATTCTGAACCCCACCAATGATGGACTTGAACCATCTTTGGTGGCACACAGAACTCCCATTACCAACAGAAAATACTATAGAAGGGTTTGGTGGGCATTGACCTTGAGTTCATTTGGGAGTTGTAGTTGCTAGGATGTACACTTCACCTACAATCAAAGAGCATTCTGAACTCCACCAATTATGGATGGAATTGAACCAAACTTAGCACAGAGAACTCCCATGATGAACAGAAAACACTATAGAAGGGTTTGGTGGGCATAGACCTTGAGTTTGGGAGTTGTAGTTCACCTACATCCAGGGAGCACTGTGGACTCAAAAACAATGATGGATCTGGACCAACTTGGCATGAATATTCTATACGTCCAAATATGAACACAGATGGAGTTTGGGAGAAATAGACCTTGACATTTGGCAGTTGTAGTTACAGGGATTTATAGTTCACCTACAACCAAAGATGGATGGATGGCATCCTTGAAGTGACTGGACTGACCTTGAAGGAGCTGGGGGTGGTGACAGCCGACAGGGAGCTCTGGCATGGGCTGGTCCGTGAGGTCACGAGTCGGAGACGGCTGAACGAATGAACAGCAACAACAACAACAACCAAAGAGCATTCTGAACCTCACCAACGACAGAATTGGACCAAACTTCCCACACAGAACCCCCATGACCAACAGAAACGTCAGGAGAGAACACAGATGGAGTTTGGGGGAAATAGACCATGACATTTGGGAGTTGTAGTTGCTGGGATTTATAGTTCAACTACAATCAAAGAGCATTCTGTACTCCACCAACGATGGAATTGAACCAATCTTGGTACACAGGACTCCCATGACCAACAGAAAACACTGGAAGGGTTTGGTGGGCATTGACCTTGAGTTGGGAGTTGTAGTTCCCCTATATCAAGACTCAAACAATGATGGATCTGGACCAAACTTGGCACGAATACTTCATGTGCCCAAATATGAACACAGATGGAGTTTGGGAGAAATAGAACTTGACATTTGGGAGTTGTAGTTCCTGGGATTTATAACTTATAATTCACCCACAATCAAAGAGCATTCTGAATCCCACAAACGACAGAATTGGGGCAAACTTCCCACACAGAACCCCCAGGACCAACAGAAAATACGTAAGGCCATCCAGTCCAASTCTCTTCACCATGGCAAAATAACGTAATGAGTTCTCCTGACAAAGAGCCARCCAGCCATAGATATATTWATTTATTTATTTACTTCATTTATATACCGCTTTTCTCAGCCCTCGGGCGACTCAAAGCYGTTAACAACAGCAAAATTCAATGCAAAACATCATAAACGATTATGGGACAGTTAAAASAATAGCATCARCAACAATTAAGCATCAATATAACAATCATTAGCGTCTCATCAGTAAAATCAYAATCCAATCTCATCATCCGTTAATCCGTGTCATTACACTGTTTAATCGAATTCTTGTTCAAACAGCCAGGTCTTCACTTTCCTCTGAAACGCCAATAGGGATGTGGCCGATCTGATATCTGCAGGCAGGGCGTTCCACAGCTGAGGGGCCACCACTGAGAAGGCCCTGTCTCTCGTTCCCGCCAGGCGCGCCTGTGATGCAGGCGGGACAGAGAGCAGGGCCTCCCCAGGTGATCTTAATGTCCTAGTTGGTTCATAGGAGGAAATGCATTCGGAGAGGTAAGTAGGGCCGGAACCGTTTAGGGCTTTATAGGCTAACGCCAGCACTTTGAATTGTGCCCAGTAGCAAACTGGCAGCCAGTGGACCTGGCGCAACAGGAGTTGTATGCTCCCTGAGTGCCGCTCCTGTTAGTAACCTGGCTGCTGAGCGTTGAACTAGTTGAAGCTTCTGAGCAGTCTTCAAAGGCAACCCCACGTAGAGAGCGTTGCAGTAGTCTATACAGGATGTAATCAGAGCGTGGACTACTGTGACCAAGTCAGACTTCCCAAGGTACGGGCGCAGCTGGCACGCATCATAGGTAGATATGATTCACACACACACATAGATATAGGGTATATAGATATGATATAGATAGATAGATAGATAGATAGATAGATAGATAGATAGATATGATTCACACACACAGAGATATAGTATCATAGATTGGAAAGGGACCCTTAAAGAAGGACAATTATATGTTGCATGTTCCAAAATAGGCAAACCAGACACTCTCCACATCAATACTGACAAAGAAACAGCAAGAAATACTGTTTATCCAAAAGCATCAAGACATTACATATATTAGAAACCAACTCTTTCTCATTACTTTATTTTCCAGATCACCCCACTGGGCCACAGCAACGCGTGGCGGGGGATGGCTAGTTTATACAATGTTACAACAGTCTCAACCCTTGAAAACAACACTTCTGTAGGGATTAGACATCTCTGGAGATTTTGAAACAGAGGCTGGATGGCCCTCTGTCGGGGGTGCTTTGATTGTGCATACCTATCAGGCCGAAGGGGGTTGGACTAGATGCCCTTTGGGGGTCCCTTTCAAATGGTTGAGTCTTCCTCCTTTGGAGGGTTTCTAAGTGAGGCTGGGTGGTTATCTGCTGTGTCCTCTTGCCTTGCAGAAGGGGGTTGGGCTAGATGCCCTTTGGGAGTCCCTTTCGAAATGGTGAAATATAGGCTGCAAGCTGTTTATGGTGATTGTGTTGATGTGAGTACTGTGTGTCATTGGGCGAGCAAGTTTAAAGATGTTGAGGTGGGAACATCTAACTTGGATGACAAACGAAGAGTTGGACGTCCTGTGACAGCAACCACCGAATTTCACAAGCAAAAGGTTGACAGATTGATTCAGGACGATCATCGTATCACTCAGAGAGAAATCATAATCGGCATTTCACAAGAATGTGTGGGTCACATTATTGCTTTGCTTGGCTAATGGAAGATCTGTGCATGATGGGTACCCAGGATGAGAGAACTGTGAGATGCTGGTTGCGGAAACAGAGTGTTGACTTCAGAAAACTTGTTCATTGTTGGCAGAAATGTATCCAATTGCCTGGTGATTATGTGGAAAAGTGAATAATGGTAGTTAAAGAGCACATTCTAAGGATTATTTCTGCGTTTGATTTAATAAAATATTCCCATCCAAACCCAAGTAATAAAGGTGGAGGCATTACTTTTCATTCAACCCTTGTATCTTTCTTGTTCCATTTCTTCATAGATCTCCTCTCCAGTTTCTCTTCACAATCCTATTACTATGGCTAGTATATCACATTGACTTCCTAAAATGGCTTGCCCATGAAAGAAAATGGACAAAAATACCCACACATGAGCATTTTATTTTTACCCTTGGGACTCACAAAAATGCCCCTGGATGTGTCTCATGAAGTTCAGATTTTTGCCTACATTCATCTATATAAAGACATTTGGGAAATGGAGTAAATAATTCATCTATTGGTTCTGTGTTGGGTTTAATGAATCTTTTGTTGACCTTTTGTATCTCATTCCTTTGCAGAAATCTGATGGAGGACACAGAGGGAAATACCTTGGTCTTCTCTGTTTTGAAATCATTCAACGAATTCATATCGCAGTCGGCGGAGCAAACATCTTTGATGACTCCACAGTTTCCTCAAGGCTCTCTGCAGACACAGTACCAGCAAATGATGAAAGTAAGACCTTGGTTTGTTTGCTCTTTAATGCATACATTTATTTAAGGGCTTGGGCATCAATTAAAATGCATTCAGAATACTTTCAGTACTGACCAAGGGGGTTAAGACCCCATTTTGGTGTCGTAATTGTTTGTGATTACATAAACTGAAAGGCCTGTGGGCTCCTTTGGTTTCTTGAGGGTGTTGCCTTGCTTATTTCATAAATATTGATAAACTAGCTTGGGTACCCAGCGTTGCCCAGGTTATTTGATAAAGTCATTTTTGTAATTGTAAAAAATGCATAAGGTTGTGGGTGAACTACAACTCACATCATGGCAGGTTAACCCCCTGAAACTCCATCAGTACTTAAAGTTTGTTGTGCTGGGCAAGTTTGCTCTAGATGTATCATCAGAGGGGTTCAGTGTGCTCTCTGGCTGTAGGGTAAACTACAACTTCCACTATGGTGAGTCAGTCCCCTCAAACCATTCCAGTAGGCTGAGTTAGTCATGGGTGTTCTTTGTGCCAAGTTTGGACAAGGTCCATCCTCGGTGGAGGTCACAGTTCCCTGGTTGTGGGTGAACTACAACTCCCAGAAAGGAAGTTCAGCTTTCTTCAAACCCCACCAGTAATCAAATTTTGGCATATCAGGTATGTGTGCCAAATTTGGTCCAGATCCTTTGGTGTTTGGGTACACAGTGCTCTCTGGATATAGGTAAACTACAACTCCCCCAAAATCAAGGCGAATTTCCCCCAAAGACCTCCAGTATGTTTTGCTGGACATTGGTCCAATTCCATCCTTGGTGGAGTTAAAGGTGCTTTTAGATTACAGACGAACTGTAAATACCAGTACCTACAACTCCAAAAACTATAACTCCAACGGCGCTCCATGCAGTCATGCCGGCCACATGACCTTGGAGGTGTCTATGGACAATGCCGGCTCTTCGGCTTAGAAATTGAGATGGGCACGCACCCCAAAGTTAGACATGACTGGACTTAATGTCAGGGGACAACCTTTACTTTACCTACAACTCCAAAATGTCTAGGCCAATTCCCCTCAAAACACACTAGTTGGCCAAGTTTGGTCCAGATCCTTCATTGTTTGGGTTCGTAGTGTGCTCTGGATGTTGGTGAACTACAACTCCTATAAATCCCCCAGTGATTTTTGTTGGTCATGGGGGCTCTGTGTATCAAGTTAGTTCCAGGTTCATTGTTGGTGGAATTCAAAGTGCTCTTGGATTGCAGGTTGACTATACATCCCAGTACCTACAACTCCTTTAAATCATGTTGAATTCTCCCCAAACCTCTCGAGTATGTTCAGTTGCTGATTAATTCCTTTGTTTGCTGTTTGCAATGGAAAATAATAGGAAAGGGTTATGGCAGAGGCAGTGAGCCGGGTCATGCAGATTCCGGAGAGACTAAGAAACTCTGGGATGTTTGTGGTGGAGGAAACACAGAAAATCTGGGATGAAAGGGAGAGGCAGTGGGAGGGGGGGTCATACAAATTCCTCACCAATGGAGAGAGTAAGAAACACTGGGATGTCTGGTGGAGGAAACACATAAAATCTAAGATGGCATTGTCCCCATATGATAGCCTTCACAGGTGGTGGGCAGTGTGGTGTTTGTGGAGGACATTGTCAGGGCTCTTGGACATGTTTACAGTGCTCACTATAACCTGCAATGTGATTGGAGGGAAGTCCATTGGTGTCTCCAGAGCAGTGGGAGCTATAGTTGTTTGTGGAGGCAGGAGTTTGTCAGTGTAAGTGGACACCCCAGCCACTCACACACATACATGTTTTCATTTTTTTTATTACTAGCCATCCCCCATTGTGTATATATGTGTTTTGTGTGTATATATGTGTGTGTATATATTTGTGTATATGTTTATATATGTGTGTTTGTGCATATATGTGGTTTTGCACATGCATTGTAATGTATTTTTTTATTTTGTGTCTACTAAAGTCTCTTTTTTTGGCGGGGGGGGGGGGGGGGTGTTTTTATGAGTGATGGTCACTTGTTGGCCTGATGGGTGTATTGTGTCCAAATTTGGTGTCAATTCGCCCAACCGTTTTTGAGTTATGTTAATCCCACAAACGAACATTACATTTTTATTTATATAGATGTGTATAGAAGATAGATTGGTGGAAATAAGACACTTGTAAATGGATTTACATTTTGTACACTGTTGCTGGTGCTTCATGTATCCTTCCATTCACTCTTCCATGTTTCGTCTGCCAGCTTATTAGCATAGGCTCCTCTTTCAAATTCCTTTCATTACCTTTTGCCAGTAATGGAAGTAGCTTCCTCTGATGTGCTAATCATGTAAGTTTCTCCTTTAACCGCAGCTTTAACACCTTGGCTAAAGCATGTTAAGAGGATAATTTGGATAGAGACCACAGGCTTCTGTTATCTGCCCAGTGTGGGCAATTCTCATTTCCAAAGGAAGAATTTTTAGTTGGTTATAAGGCAACGTTGAGAGGCAGAAGCCTGCTTCAGCTTGTTTCCTTTGTAACATGAAGATGAATGTTGCTTCCTTCAGAGAGACTGGGTTTTGTAAAAGCTCCGAGAAGGACTCTATTTGGCTTCTCATCCAAAGGTGTAGCTACTTCCATAGCGACTGATCTGTGTGCTTCTAGTCTACCTCATGTATTGAGCTCTTTGGTGGAATATAAGAGGGAAACCCGTATCACTTCCAGAATGGGTTGAGGTGTTTCACTGAAAAACTTCGTAGGAACACAATCTGTGACAAATCTTCTTTCCTTCCTTTCTTGGCAACGGTCAGCTGGAAGAGCAAGCTGGACAGATCCAGTCAGGGACCCGGCTCTTGCAGGTGGAACGGGAGAAAATGCAGATGGAGTTGAGCCACAAACGGGCTCGAATTGAACTCGAGAAGGAGGCTAATACAAATGCAAGGAATTTTCAGGTGAGTTTTCGACTGTCCCTGTCTGATTTTACCTAGTTGATTTGCACTCGTGTCCTCTTGTGATGTCTAGGTGCAAGAGAAAGTACAGAATGCAAGGTTGCTTTTGGGGAATGGTTGGTTTCCTTTTCTTCTGTCGAGGGCCAGGTTTATTCCAGACTAGCATGTCGAGGGTGGTATCATCATATATGTAGTGCTATCAATGTACATTTAGTAGTAAAACAACAGCAACATGCAAATCAAGCCAGCTACATTTAGGGTAGCAAACAACAACTGAGAAATAGAGGGAGAAATTGTGGAGGCCGTGACAGACTTTGTATTTCTAAGTGCAAAGATTACTGCAGATGCAGACTGTGGCCAGGAAATCAGAAGACGCTTCCTTCTTGGGAGGAGAGCAATGTCCAGTCTTGATAAAATAGTAAAGAATAGAGACATCAGACTGGCAACAAAGATCTGCCTAGTCAAAGCCATGGTATTCCCTGTAGTCACCTACGGATGCGAGAGCTGGACCTTAGCGAAGGCTGAGCGAAGGAAGATTGATGCTTTTGAGCTGTGGTGCTGGAGGAAAGTTCTGAGAGTGCCTTGGACTGCGAGAAGATCCAACCAGTCCATCCTCCAGGAAATAAAGCCCGACTGCTCATTGGAGGGAAGGATACTAGAGACAAAGTGGAAGTACTTTGGCCACATCATGAGGAGACAGCAAAGCCTAGAGAAGACAGTTATGCTGGGGAAAGTGGAAGGCAAAAGGAAGAGGGGCCGACCAAGGGCAAGATGGATGGGTGGCATCCTTGAAGTGACTGGACTGACTTTGAAGGAGCTGGGGTGGTGACAGCCGACAGGGAGCTCTGGCGTGGGCTGGTCCATGAGGTCACAAAGAGTCGGAGACGACTGAACGAATGAACAACAACAACATTTAGTGTATAAAATATATCTCTGGTGGGTGGAACAGAAAGTATTCGAGTCAGAACCCAAAATGACCAAATGCTGTTGTCCTATCTTTTCTATTTGATGTCTTCATGCTCTTTTCTTTCTGCAATGGGCCCATAGAAGGAAGACAGATTACTGTTCACAGACTACTAAATAAATCTCTAGCAGAGGCCTTTGAAAGTTAGGTCAGAGGTCCTAGCTCTGCAGGTAGCCCAGGTCTGTTTAGGACCATTTCAACGTAATTTATTATTTATTTATTTAAAACTTTCGTATCCCGATCTTCTCTACTTCCGTAGACCGGCTAACAGCAAGGATTCAATTCTAACAATACAATCTAAAACATGGTACATCAACAATAAATTAAAATACATAAAGACTAAAATACATAGAAGCCAGTTTGTCAAGATAAAATCATGTCCCACTCAGTCCACATATGTGGTCGATAACTTTAGTTAATTGCCAGTCTCCGCCATCATTCTGGGAATGTCTCATTCCATAGCCATTCTTTTAGAGAATTGAGAGAACTGTGACATTGACTTGGGAGATGTAACTGGGACTTGGGGTTTCGAGTAGGACAAAGACAGCATAACATAGTGGTTTGAGTGTTGGACTACAACTCTGGAGAGCAGGCTTTGAATCTTCACTAAGCCCTGGAGTCCCACTTGTCACTCAGAGTAAGTCACACACTCTCAGCCTCAGAAAACCTTGTGACAGGTCAACATAAATCAGAATCACATTGAAAGCACTCAACAATGGTAGATCTTATTTTAGAAAAGCAGCACCTTTTAGATATTCTTTTTATGCCAATAGCGACTTGAGAAACTGCAAGTCACTTCTGGTGTGAAATAATTGGCTGTCTGCAAGGATGTTGCCCAGGGGGTGCCCAGATGTTTTGATGTTTTATTATCCTTGTGGGAGGCTTCTCTCATGTCCCGGCATGGGGAGCTGGAGCTGACAGAGGAAGCTCATCCATTCTCACCCCAGATTCAAACCTCCGACCTGTCAGTCTTCAGTCCTGCCGGCACAAGGGTTTAACCCATTTTGCCACCAGGGACTCCTAAAATCATCACCTTTTAGTGATCATAACCTTTTAGAGAAGAGCCAAAAACTCATTTGAGTATAATCTTCTCAAGTGATATACAACCAAATGCAAGGCAATTGTCTTAACTTGTTGGACTGAACCACCTTTGTCTTTGATCTGTTAGGAAACCGAGAATATGCCAGTGCATAAAAATAGCAGTTTTTCATAAGTGTTTTTCAGTGCCCAAAATATATCTGCTCCCCCATAAAACAACTTGCTTTATGGTATTCACTCAAAAGATGAAATAAAGTAGATTTTGGTAAAAATAACATATTTGGTTTACTCACGACCTTCATGTGTTCAGCATACACAGGTACACAGCTTATCAGTTAGTTACAGATATGTTTGAGATAGTTTCTGGGCCATCCGGTCAGAACATAAACAATAAACAGCAGACAAGTGTTTGCAATTCTGCGATCTGAGCAGTCCCAAAGAAGTCTGTGCTCATGTCAGAGTAGATCATGTGGTCTGCATCTCCTCCCACAACTTCTCAGGAAAAACATAGAGCAAGGAAAGAAAGCTGCATTTCAGAACATACTTATTATATGTATGTAACAGTATTATAGATAAACAAATTCCTAGAGGAGACTTGAAGAAGGTTGTAATTTCCAACATCTTGCGGCTCAATACATGACAAATCTAGAACCTGAACACCCAAAATGGCAACTAGCCTGTGTGATGTGACTGCATATATCAGCGTTTCTCAACTTGGGGCTCGGGAGCTGTCAGAGGGATTGCCGAAGATACACATTTGGATGACCCTGTTATCTTAGCTGGTGATTTAGCTGGAGAAGACAATATGATCGTTGGCATGTTTTTTCCTGTGATGCTGGAAACAGCACTGTTCAATTCAGTCTCTGATGAAAGGAATGGATCATCGCTGATAATAATTTAAAGAGAAACTATACTGGAGGGGTCAACACTATCAGAAAACACAGTATTTTCTGTTGACCATGGAGGTTCCATGTGGGAAATTTGGCCCAATTGTATCATTGGTGAGATTCAGAATGCTCTTTGATTATAGGTGAACTAGAAATCCCAGCAACTACAACTCCCAAATGTCAAGGTCTCTTTTCCACCAGTGTTAAAATTTGGGCATAATGAGTATTCATGCGAAGTTTGGTCCAGATCTATCATAGTTTGAGTCCACAGTGCTCTCTGGATGTAGGTGAACTACAACTCCAAAACTCAAGGTCAATGGGCACCAAACCCTTCCAGTATTTTCTGTTGGTCATGGAAGTTCTGTATGCCGAGTTTGGTTCAATTCCATCATTAGTGGAGTTCAGAATGCTCTTTGATGGTAGGTGAACTATAAATCCCAGCAACTACAACTCCCTAATGACAAAATCAACCCCTCACAACCCCACCAGTATTCAAATTTGGGCATATTGGGTATTGGCATAGGTCCAGTGAATGAAAATACATCCTGCATATGAGATATTTGCATTATGATTCATAACTGTAGCAAAATGACAGTTATGAAGTAGCAATGAATATAATGTTATGGTTGGGGGTCACCAACTGTATTAAGGGGTCACGGCATTAGGATGGTTGAGATCCACTGGCATATATTGCCTACGTTTTTGCCACATATGAAAACTTAACATACATTTTTTTTTCTGTAAAGTGGTTCAGAAATTTAGAAGCTTTAATGCAGGCTTCACACAATAAAGAGCTGAAGTTGGATCAGTATTGTGGCTAAGAAAAGACGAATATCCAAGGAGGTTCCTGTTTCCACTTTTGAGTCAAGTAATTTTGTGGATTATTCCAGTGTCAGTTCAACCCCAAAATCGAGCTGAGTCAGTCAGAGAAACACTTAAAATCCTCATACCAAAAAAAGGAGCAGCATTAATCCAACATTGTGGTAATTACCCTGCTCAGATTCTGCATTTTGGGAGCCATGTGGATAAGGTTTTAGGAACCTTGTGCCGATTTGCATAATCCTTGCTTAGTATGTAAATCCGTAGCTTGTTTTGCTCTGATTAGGAGAGCAATTTGCTACGCGTTTTCCAATAAGCGCTAATCAATTTGAGTTGGAAGTAAATGGAAACTGCTGGAAATACTTTTGGAATTCATAAGTGGTGGTGAAGGTGGAATGAAATCTCTCAGCAGAATTCAGTCTCTGTGTGTCTTATACTGCTTTAGACTGTTAGAAGGCAGAATCTTGTGGCACCTTTACAACATGCATATTTGTTTTAGCATTAATGCATAGAGTGCAGTATTCAGGCTTCAGGTATATACCCACATGATGCATGTTTGTGGAGTGATTAAATAGGATGTGTGAAATATGACAATTGTCCATAAATGTTTTCAGGGAGGCTCAGCATATTGTCCTGACACTAAGGAAGGCAATTAATTTGTAGGAAGTAAGTGGGGAAACAGAACCATTAAAACAATTAGTTCTGCTTTCAAGAAAGTTGTTTTGTTATTATAATTGTATAGCGCCATCACTGTACATACTGCCTTACAAGTACAAGAACAACAAAACAGTTCCCTGCCCTCAGGCTTACAGGCTGGTTACGACATGACACAAAAGAAAACGAGGAGAGCAATGTGGGAGTTTTAGAATCATAGAATCAAAGAGTTGGAAGAGACCTCATGGGCCATCCGGTCCAACCCCATTCTGCCAAGAAGCAGGAATATTGCATTTATTTATTTATTTACTTTACTTTACTTGTATACCGCTCTTCTCAGCCAATGAGGCGACTCAGAGCGGTTAACAATAAGAAGCAGCAAAAATTCAAAGCAACACCATACAGCCATTTAAAAAACAATTGACACACTAACACATTAAGCAAATAACATCAGTGACCATCAATAACATCAATAACAGTTCAATAGCGTCTCATAACTAAAATCATAATCCAAGTTCGTCATCCGTTGTTCCGATTCCTATAATTCATTGTAGTTCATTGCACTGCATTCAAAGCACCCCTGACAGATGGCCATCCAGCCTCTGTTTAAAAGCTTCCAAAGAAAGAGCCTCCACCACACT